AGAGGTGAGATAAGTGGTTAGATCGAAATGATATAGATTTTAATTTCGAGGAATCCACATTTTTAAAAAGAGTAACTTTACACTACCGCATGGGGTTCTGGCTTGAATGTAGGCGTGCCAATGTAAAAACGTTTGCGGTGGGATGCAACTAAGTAAGCTGTCTATAATCAAGCACAAAGATTTGAAAATGCCTAGGCTCAAAAACACTAACTTTTAAGGCATCGACGTGCGGTTTTATCCATGGCGAGTTTGGAAGGAGATGCGACCGTCGGTTCAGTCGAATCAGAGGGAGGTGGAGATGGATCACGAGAAGCGGATGATGATGAGGATGACGATGACGATGACGACAGCTCCAAGCGTCTTCGACTCCTTTCCTTGTACCGATGCCTCTTCTGATGGCGGGGTAGTAGCTTTGACAAGTTACTGCTACGGTGACGCTGATGGCGATGCCTGAGATCAGGAGACAATGATTTAACTTGTGGCACTGGGGGTTTCGGTTTCCGCTTGATTTTAGGTAGCGCAGCACGTAGGCCACTGAAGATACCGAGACCACCGGGATAGGAAGCGGTTGTAGTGGATGAAAAGGGTTCATCAGAGCGACGATTGAGACTGTTAGTGTCAACTACTTTTGCCGATGCGGAGGGCAATTGATAAGAGGTTGATGAATCCCCACTGAACTTTGACAATCGCTCACTTAAAGAAGCGTCTGTTCGTAGTTCATTCTATAACAAAAGTATATTTTTTAAATGTAAACAACAAAACGTGCAGTCTAGACCGGACGCCTCACCAAATGATTCAGTAAAAAAATAATTGCTAACCTTGCAGTATGAATTTTGCGACGGATACAAATGCTATGACAAGTAACAGGTTCAAAATTAGCGTACAAGAGGTAACACATCAATTTAACGCATTCGTCGCAGGGAAAAAAACTTATATGTCGCAAAGTTGCATTTTTATTTCATTAAAAATGACACTTGTAATAGTCAAAAGGAGCCATCTATTCAGTAGACAAGGGATATGAGATCCAAGTTTGATTATGTGACATAACCAATAGCCTTTACCTTTGACTGGCAATGTACTTACCCGAATCAATTTAAACAAAGGCGACTTGACGAAACGTTAGAAGCCTCTATGATAGTGTGCGAAATTACTGCTAGAAGTCCATTTCTTATATTGATAATTTGCATCGCAATAGACACAATAAACGGCGTCTTAAAAACGCTTTCATCGTACTTTACACGTACTGTTAAATCAATGTGAGCATCGGCTTTCAATATTATAATCACGTTTACCTAAAGAAAAAATTAGTCTAAAATAAGACTTAATAAAGGGCAAAAAAGTTCCTTTAGGATCAGGAAAACTGCCGAACCTAGATGCTCCGAAAACTAAAGTCTGTTGATTAATTTTTACTATTTACCATTAGGGCAAAAAATGGCGATAGGTTTTGAGCTAATTGGAAACTTTAGACAAGAAACCGAAATGTAAACGTTTAGAGGAATCCATAATGAAACCTTAATTCGTCTAATTTTGGAGATTTAGCCTTGGTAAAACAATGATTAATTACCCCAGCAGGAATAAAAACCAGAATAAAACATTAAATACAGAAATGTGGAAAAGGTCTTGGAATTTTTTAAAATGATGGAAATTAGCAATCACAGCAAACCATCAAAAAAGTTGTCGCTACCAATCAAACTGCCGCTGCTTAATCTGAAAGCACAACCCGGCACCCACCATATTATACATCGATCCAGAAAACAGGTTGACTACAATTAGACGATGGCGATATTCATCAACTTTGAAAGGTGTGATAATGAAAGGCAAATACAAGTGTTGGGACCAAAATGAAACCTAACACACATTGCTTGCGTTCTCACAAGCTGCCAACGTTATACAATATGATACTGATTCAACTAAGGGAAAATAAATGCATTACTTTTGAAACATTTTGTATGACGAAGACCAAAACGCTATTTCAAGGTTGCATGATTTGAGCATACAGAACGATTGACAATCAGCATTAAACCCGCCTTTGGTATCAACTGAGAAAGGTTAAATGCTTGGACTTTGTTTACTCAAGCAGTCACAGACCCCAGGTCATTTTATATACAGTACAGATCGCCCATTCCTGAATAGTGGCTACCTTAATTGATATTGAAACAGCGATTAAAAAGATGAAATAAAGGAGCAGGTAAAAGTATACAGTGCAGCAAAGAGGAGACGCGGAAATATCTTATTACAGTGGGATTGGATTATTTTTGTGAAAACGCATTAAGTGGTACATACTCTTTGATGCTATAAGTGAGGCGAGTGATGGGAATCCAATGCATAACATACACACACCCACACATCGACGACCTCATCGTACACCTATCAAATAACAATTACATACGTAAGTAATAATTAGCCACAACTAGCGTTAAGAAACAATGCACGTCTTGGGGGCCATTCAGAACCAAATGCACTAGGAAACGATTTTGTGGTTTCTCGAGGTTTTGTTATCTCGTCTTCACATGAACACTGCAAAATCCAAAACAAGCTCATTTCTTTTCAGTTACCCAGCCTTCTTGATGGAAAATTTGTCTTAGAGAATTCGATATGGCCGAGGTGTCCCTAGAGGATGATCCTAAACAGATTATCCTTGTCGGTTTTAATAACGAAGACTTTGAATTATAGAGTTTTTTTCGCACCAATACCAGCGAAAACTTGACAACTGAGCAAAACTACCATTTACGAAATTTTGGTTTGTTGTACATAATAATCAGGAGATATTTAGCAAACACTCAAAAATGAATCATCGGTAGATTCATTGAATACAGGTTGGTCGTGGTGAGCGCCACAGCCATAATTGAATGCTTCTTGTTGAATTTAATCATAACTTAAAAGATCAATCACACAAATAGACAAGGAAACAAATATTAGGTAGGCAAACTTACTGTGTTCTGAGAGTCCCACCAAGTATCAAATTCCCGAAAGGCATGTCGCTCAATTAGACGCCGTTCAAGATCTTTTTGTATAATATCTCTCAATTCGCATACAAATTTCAGAGAAGTTTCCGCGGCCAGCCTGGTAACAAGCGAATAATTCACTGTCGATTTAGAGGGTGTTTGAAGCAGTGGTTGTTTAGACAACGGCTGACTTGGTTTATTCACCTGCTGTTCTTCAATTTGTGGGGGAGTTGGTAACAAAGTCCTACGTGCAGAACAAGCAGGTGAAGAAGAAAGGGGATCATTTTTTGGGTCTAGTGATGACACCGGAAGAAGTGGCGGCGGAGTCGGTATTAGCGGGTTCTTGAGTAATGGTGACTGCTTCGGCCTCTCAGGAAAAGCGTCCGGTAAAAGTGGTGTTTTTCGCGGTCTAATGTCAACCTCTGGTTTGGACACGGGTGACTTTTTCAAGGAAGAGGGAGAACCAGAAACAGTGGAATGTAGCAACCTGTGTATTCGCACATCCAATGGGTCCTCGCTAGGGACGGGGATCCCATTAATCGACTGGGATGGTTTGGTACGTCCACCCACAGAGGAATGAAAGCCTGACGACGTAATACCAAGGCCTGGAGGCTTCGACAAATGTTTGTGTTCCTCGGAAGCAAACGGGCTAAATTTGGTATTAGAGAGAGACTGCGACCGTGAAGACAAATTCGTATGATGAGAAACTTGCGATAATCGATCAGGAACGCGGGATAAGTTATCATAGTCTAGTGATGGTTTACGACAAAACACTTCACTGTTATATTTGTCAGGCATATCTTCCGGTGGACCTGCTTTTGGTAACGATTTTAACAACTTATCCGGTCTCGGAGTAGTAAAATTAGCAAGAGACATGTCGTTCTGTACTTGGCTTAATAAGGCATATCTTTTTTTACCTATACAGATGAAAATGGTCAAAATCGGAAGAACTACCAAAAACGTCTAGTTCAACTTTCATTATGTTGCCCATTTTTGACGTATTGTTCAGTTTCTCAGCACAGAGTTTGGCACTTCGGGCCGATTGAAAAACTACCTGAAGGAACCTTAGTTTAATATACAAAATAACCTTTCCAATGCCCATATGTTTATGGGAGCTCGGATGGAAGTATACTTTAGCTTCTTCAATCGAGCCAAATTCACGACACATTTGTTCCAAATTTTTAATATTAATGTTGTCATTTAGATTCGAAAAGGTGACTTCTTTTTCTGGATATGATCCAATGTAATGAACATCGTACTATATGTAAAACTGCGTTATATAATACCAATCATACTCGAAAATTGGGAATTAAAAGGTCAGGGGCGGGCCTTCTACAAAAAGCTCGTATCTGCGGCGATATCCTTGGATCTGTTACTGGAGTGGGGCTTGGGCAGGATTCCTAAAGATCCTAATTCATTGCGTCAAAGTTAACTTACACCAGCAACAACGCCATCGAATCGATACAACTTCGTTTTGCACGTAGGATCAAGGACAGGATCACGCAAAAGCTTTGCAGCAATATACTGCGAGTACCTAGTATCTCCCATTACTTTACTGCTAAGCAAGAAAACAAA